CCTGTTTCAGACCTGTTTCAGACCTGTTTCAGGCCTGTTTCAGACCTGTTTCAGACCTGTTTCAGACCTGTTTCAGGTGGCCCCGTGTTCCTAAAGTTACTGCGTTCTGAGATGATGTCTGTGGCTCACTGACACAAATCCTGAATACTCCAGTTCCATCAGATCCAGAACTACGTCTACTAGGATTAAGGAAGCCTTTGGCTGTTTCCAGAAAATCTACTGTGTACTCTCTGTATCCACACGGAGTTCAGAAGTGAGATCCTGTCTACCACTAGAGAAAATCACTTTTGTCATGAAAAACTAATATGATGACTTTTTAAATATGAGGCTGCCGTTCATTGAATATTTAGAGAAATGACCATAAGAAGCCCTGGAGCCGCTGTAAACTTTAACTACTTATAAACCGACACAAAGGCCCAGATTGCTGAAAGAACTTGGTATAAATGAGAATTTGTTTTATATATGTCATTATTTTTGGGCTGGTTTGTTTAGCTTTTATTTTGATTTATTTACTTTTATCTTTTTTCTCATTTTTTTTTCACTTTTCTAAATAAGTTCTCAGTTATTTTTAAAAATCTGTCTTTTGTATTACCGTTCATATTATTTTCCGTATTACATATTGTTTTATTTTAATGGGGCTAAATTGTATTGTTCTTCCTAAATTGAAAACTTCAAAATAAAGTATTCCAAAAGGTCTCGGATGTTAAATATTTCACGGACTGGTCGTGTGGAGTAAGACAGACAAAACCAGTTTGTTTATTTCTTATTTTGATTAATTTTATTTAATTTTTCTTTTAATTTTTCTAAATAAGTTCTTAGTTTAAAAAAAAAAAAATCTGTCTATTACGTTACAGTTAATAATAATTTCCTATAATACATATTGTCTTGTTTTTATTTTAACGGGACTAAGTTGTATTTTTCTTCCGAAATTGAAAACGTATTCCAAAAGCTCTCAGATGCTGAACATTTCAGGGACCGCTCATATGGAATAAGACACAGAAACCCGTTTTTTTTTTGTCACCTGTTGGAACAGGGCAGTGAGCTTCATCCTCCATTTCTGGTGCCAGGCCGTGTTATCGCCCATGTTCACCAGCTCGTCCAGCTGCCGCACCGTTTTGATGGTGGTCACCTGTCGGAAAGCACACAGCCCTCAGCACATCTGGCCTAAAACATCTGCATTACGGACTCTGGATGGCTGTTAATCTTTTAAAGGGGACATATTATGCAAAACCAAGTTTTTAATCATTTGATTGTGTACATTTGGGACTGTGGAGGGCCTATCAGCAGGAAAAGTGTGAAAAAAAAATGACTCGGTCGTGTTTTTGTGGGCCGCCTCAGTCTGAATCCAGGAGATAAATCAGGAGGTTTCAGGAGTGGGTAGTTTCTGACGTCATTAGCTCTAGCTCATTATAATATTATTATTATTATAATATTGATATTATTATATATTATCTAGCTCATTATAATATTCCAGCCTTTCACCTGCATGTTGCCCCCCCCCCTCAGATTACTCCCCTATCTGTGGAGACGTCCTGGTAGCGTGAGCGTTAGCATGGTAGCGTTAGCATGGTAGCGTTAGCATGGTAGCGTTAGCATGGTAGTGTTAGCATGCTAGCGTTAGCATGGTAGCGTTAGCATGGTAGCGTTATGACTCCTTTAAGCAGTTCGAAAATGGTTTCCCCTCAGTAGTGGCTTTATTATAAGACCGGCAGGAATGTGAGAATTACAGTTTTCAACCCTGTTATTATGATATTAGACGCATATATTTCATATTCTGTTACCATTTTTTGTTTCCTTTTTTTTCTTCCCCCTTCATCATCCAGGAGCATCTTTTATCTTAAGGTTTAATAACAGAAGTAATGAGGGAGTAGGAGCCATAAAAAATACTCTTTAAATTACTCTTTAATTCAAAGTTTCCTCATAAAGATGTTCCATTAGACATTATTTTTACTGCGTTAGTCAGGATAAGATCTATTAGTTTAAAAAAAGAGGCAATAAATGAAAAAACTTGTAATTAATTCTCCTTTTTAATGAAGCAGGAAGATGTAAAGAAATAGCTGGATGTCACCTCCTGGTTAGCGTTTAGTTTGAGGCATTCTGGTATTACACATGTTAAAAGCTAATCTATTTTTGTTCATTATTATGCAGATTTATGCAGCAGAGAGCTCTAAACCTGCTGCACAGTGGCAGAAAAAGGCCTGTCATTTCCTGTAAAAAGCTGTAAGAGGCCTGAGATTTAAAGGGACACTCACAGAGAAAACCCTCTCCGGGTAGCCCTTCGCCCTCATGTTGGTGTCGTGGACCTGCTTCAGAATCATCCACGCCTCGTCGTGCTTCCCGTTCTGCAGGAACAAACACAAACACACAAATAAACATTAAAATAAACACAAGTAAACACAAATGACCACAAATAAACACAAAGAGACACAAAGAGAGACAAATAAACACAAATAAACACAAAGAGACACAAACAAACACAAATAAACACAAACAAACACAAATAAACACAAAGAGACACAAACAAACACAAAGAGACACAAACAAACACAAATAAACACAAAAAGACACAAAGAGACACAAATAAACACAAACAAACACAAAAAGACACAAATAAACACAGAGACACAAATAAACACAAAGACACACAAATAAACACAAACACAAATAAACAAAAATAAACACAAAGAGAGACAAAGACACACAAACAAACACAAAAAGACACAAATAAACACAAATAAACACAAAAAGACACAAAAAAACACTTTGAAATTCTCATTTATTTCCAGGTAAAACTTCATTGTATTATAAACCCCAGGATTCTCCATCCAATAACAGGCAGAAAAGTCAGTATTTTTTTTGTCTTTCTGTAAATAAATGTAATCAAATTGTGTGCGTTTTGAGCATCCTTTCTTCATACCTAGCATCCTTTCCTCATACCTAGCATCCTTTCCTCATACCTAGCATCCTTTCCTCATACCTAGCATCCTTTCCTCCTTGTATCAATATCTGTACCATTTTTCATCCAGTCTGTGTGTTACTGTGCAGGCTGCCTCTTTCTCTCTCATTGTCTCTCTCTCTCTCTCTCTCTCTCTTGCCCCCCCCCTTCCCCTCTTCCTCCTAATTGCAGTTTTTCCCTCCCTGGGTCTCCTAGTGCTGCTCTTTGTGGGAACTGTTGTCCTTCTATAAATAACGTCAGAGTCTGAGCTGCTCTGTTTTGAAAGCTGGGAGAGAACTGCTGTTGGGATGTGGTGATGTATAGATAAAATTGAATTGAAACTGAATTTATTGATTCACCATTAAGGGCTGACGCTCACAGGGAGATGAGATCTTTGGAGTTCTTGCTTTCTGTGAGTTGGAGCTATATACAGTGGGGGAAATAAGTATTTGACCCCTTGCTGATTTTGCAGGTTTGCCCACTTACAAAGAATGCAACGATCTATAACTTTAATCATATGTACATTCTAACAGTGAAAGCCAGAATCCCAAAGAAAATTCCAGAAAATCACATCATATGAATTTTAAAAAAATTGATAACCATCTGATGAGGAAAAATAAGCATTCTTTGTAAGTGGGCAAACCTGCAAAATCAGCACGGGGTCAAATACTTACTTCCCCCACTGTAAATAAAATCGAATTGAACTGAACTGAATTGAATTGAATGAGGAGGTGGGCTCACCTCCAGGTAGAAGCGGGGGCTCTCGGGCATGGTGGTCAGGGCGGAGATGGCCGCCACCGAGGGGAAGGCACACACCAGAACGAACACGCGCCAGCTGTGGAACTGGTAGGCCGAGCCCATCTGGAAGCTCCAGCCTGCAGGAGAAAAAACACAAAGCTGCTGCCACTGGAAAACCACGCTAGCAAGCAAGCTAACAGGTTCCCCACATGCTAGGGTTGTCGAAAGTATCGATACTAAAACGTTGTATCCGGATACGATACTCATTTTCAAAAGTATCCATACCCCCGTCCCCTTCTCTCTGATTTATTTATTTATGTTATTTATGATCATTAACAAGACGTTAGCCTTGAATTGCTAGCTGTGGCTAATAGTAACACGCCAACATTAACGTTTGAAATAATATAAACAATATCTATCAAACCTTTGACTGCTTTTTTTAAATATACACAATACTTGTACTTTTACTTATACTTGTACTTTCAATACTTGAGTGGCAATTTTTGAAATACTTCTACTTGCAATACGTAAGTTAAAAAAAATGGAGTATTTCCATACTTCCACTTAAGTATGCTGTTGAAAGAACACTTCAACTTTTACTCAAGCCAATTTTTTTTATATAGTACTTGTACTTCTACTTCTACTTGTACTTTTGATACTTGAGTAGCAATTTTTGAAATACTTCTACTTGCAATACTTAAGTACAAAAATGATTGAGTACTTCCGTACTTCCACTTAAGTATGGAGTTGAAAGAACACTTCTACTTTTACTCAAGTCAATTTTCTTTTTATATAGTACTTGTACTTCTACTTATACTTTCAATACTTGAGTAGCAATTTTTGAAATAGTTCTACTTGCAATACGTAAGTTTAAAAAAAATGGAGTACTTCCGTACTTCCACTTAAGTCTGGAGTTGAAAGAACACTTCAACTTTTACTCAAGTAAAAAAAATTTTTTTTTATATAGTACTTGTACTTCTACTTCTACTTGTACTTTCAATACTTGAGTAGCAATTTTTGAAATACTTCTACTTGCAATGCTTAAGTAAAAAAAAAAGAGTACTTCCGTACTTCCACTTAAGTATGCAGTTAAAAGAACACTTCAACTTTTACTCAAGTCCATTTTTTTATATAGTACTTGTACTTCTACTCCAGTACTTTATACATGTCTGCTTAAAAAGGCGTGCATGAGAGCGGGCTGTGGGAAACGCGTCACTCATCAGGTGACTCCACAGAGGCCCATATACTTATCGTAAAAAAATGACTTTATATCAAAGGACAATGAGAAATGGAGCTCAACGTCCTCATAGAGGATAAGTGGGACGATGTATGGGGGATTGGGAGCCAACTGAGGAAGAAATTTGATTGGAAAGTAAAGATGAGGTTTTTTAGGATCCCCCTAAAAGTCGGTGTTTTTAATAACAAATGTAATATCATCCCATAAATTGTGGGATTGCCCCAAAATACAGACATTCTGGACAAACATTAAAGACGAACTGGAAAAAGGATATTTCTTTCAATCTTTTTTATATAGTACTAGTACTTCTACTCTCCTCCTCTACTCCAGTACTTTATACCCCTCTGGGGGGTGCTCACCGTAGTGGGGGATGATGGCCCAGGCCATGGCCGAGGCGTAAATGCCCCCGATCATCCAGAACATGCAGAGCCAGCTCAGGTGCTCTCCGCGCTTCTCCTGGGCCAGGAACTCCGAGTAGTAGGAGAAGACGATGGGGATGGAGCCCCCGATGCTGCAGAAACACGGGGGACACCAAACAGGTTAAAAACAGAAGATATGAAGGTGTAAGGGCCAGAAAAATCACTCTTTAGTGCAAAGGTTCCTCATAAAAATGTTCCATTAGACATTGTTTTACTGCTATAGTCAGGATATGATGTATTAGATAAAAAAATACTCAATAATTTAAAGAACTCCACCTAAAAATGTTCTATTAGAAATTATTTTACTGTTATAGTAAGGATAAGATGTATTATATTAAAAAAAGGCTCAATAAATTAATACAACTCCTCATAAAAATGTTCCATTAGACATTGTTTTACTGCTATAGTCAAGATATGATGTATTAGATAAAAAATGGCTCAATGAATGAAACATAAAAATGTTCCATTAGACATTATTTTACTGCTATAGTCAGGAAACATTGTATTTGATTAAAAAAAGCTCAATAAATTAAAAAAACTCCACATAAAATTTTTCCATTAGACATTATTTTATTGTTATAGCCAGGAAACATTGTATTTTATTAGAAAAGGCTCAATAAATGAAAAAACTCCTCATAAAAATGTTCCATTAGACATTATTTTAATGCTATAGTCAGGAAACATTGTATTTGATTAAATAAAACTCAATAAATGAATAAACTCCGCATAAAAATGTTCCATTAGACATTATTTTACTGCTATAGTCAGGAAACATTGTATTTGATTTAAAAAAGGCTCAATAAATTAAATAACTCTGCATAAAAATGTTCCATTAGACATTATTTTACTGCTTTAGTCAGGATACGATGTATTAGATTAAGAAAAACTCAATAAAAGACAAAAACTAAATGTTCCATTAGACATTATTTTACTATTATAGTCATGAAACATTGTATTTGATTAAAAAAAGCTCAATAAATGAAAAAAAATCCATATAAAAATGTTTCATTAGAAGTTATTTTACTATTACAGTCAGGATACGATGTATTAGATTAAAAAAGGCTCAATAAATGAAGAATCTCCACATAAAAATGTTCTATTAGACATTATTTTACTGTTATAGCCAGGATATGATGCATTAGATTAAAAAAGGCTCAATAAATGAAAAAACTCCACATAAAAATGTTACATTAGACATTATTTTACTGCTATAGCCAGGAAACATTGTATTTTATTAAAAAAGGCTCAATAAATGCAAAAACTCCTCAAAAAAGGATAAGATGTATTAGATTAAAAAAAGGCTCAATAAGTGAAAAAAGCTAGTCATAAAAATGTTTTATAAGGCATTATTTTACTGCTATAGTCAGTATACGATGTATTAGATTAAAAAATGCTCAATAAATGAGGCTCTGAAGTATTTATTTCCAATAAGTCTTTACTTGACATGTAAAAGAATCACAGGCCTCCAAAATGTGTGTTTTTCTTTGTAAATTGTAAGATGAGAGATGAGAGAGATGTGAGATGAGAAGGCTCTAAAATGCCTTTACTGACAGTGAAGCCACACAAACTTTACTCTTCGCTTTTTTCCTTTACAAAATGTACAGAAAAACAAACGATAAAAGAGCAAATAGAAACCAAAGCTGCTTGAATTTGATCCATTACGGTATTGTAATGAGCCCTTTATTTCAGTGGGCTTCAGTTACTTTGTTGACTCGACAGTTTTTTGTCTCTTCAGTTCTGTTTTGTCAGTATCGAGTATCGAATATTTTTAAATATATATTAAAGTTCCTCTGCTTACCCGACGCCGGAGAGCAGGCGGCAGAAGAGGAAGGAGGTGTATCCCTGCACGAAGGAGGAGAAGAAGGCGAACACGCTGTTGATGGAGAGCGAGATGAGCAGCGTCTGCCTCCGGCCGATCCGATCCGCCAGGCCGCCCCACACGAAGGCGCCCACCATCATGCCCAGGTACACGATCAGGCCTGGGGGGGGGGTTAGGGTTAGGGTTAGGGTTAGGGGGGTACAGACCAGGGGAAGAGGCCGTTACTCATCTGGAAACTCATTGATATCAGTTCCAGGCTTTTTTTGCATCAAGTCATGCTTGTGTTTGTTTGTCGTATGGGGTGGAAATGGCAGCATAATGTGCTCCAGTGGGGTCAGGGGGGTACTTACTTAGTTGTCAGACTCATGTTGAACAGGGATTTACTCTGATAACAACTTAATGGTTAGGACACAGAGCTGTGGGTTACAGATGCTAATGCTAATGCTCGTGTGGGATGGGACTTTAAAAAGAAACTGGATCTGGTGTCTGGATCTGTATTTTCTCCTGCCGGCCGATACACAGTCTTTTGCAAATATCAGCAGCCGATCCTATCCAGATATCGGATCGGGACCAACCTTCACCTGGACTCCTTTGGTCAGGCCTCGTGAAACAGAGAAGAAGCCATTGGAAGTCGGTGACCGTCAGTCGGCCTTCTGACCTGCTTTGCATCCCATCCCCCCTTAAAACCGAAGCTCCGGGATGATTTATTCACGGCTCGGTAAACAGATTCGTGTACGCTCGGCGTGTCCCCCTCCCACCGATCAAACAAGTGGAGGAGAGTCTCCTCCAGTGTTTGCCGTCAAACACAGAGTGTGAGTCACTCTTTAATCAGCAGCTTCAAAGGTCTTTCATCGAACAGGGAAGCACGTCCCTCTCCACGTTACTCAGGGCAGATGCTAATCTGACCTCTTCTGCTACGGCTAACGAGTCAGTTGAATGGTCTTTTCACAGTCCCACACGAGCATTAGCATTAGCATTAGCATCTTCTAACCCACAGGTCTGTGTGCTAACCATTAAGTTGTTATCAGAGTAAATCCCTGTTCAACATGAGTCTGACAACTAAGGAAGTAGATAAATAACTTTAGACTTTAACACATGCTCTGATAGGCCGGGATCGGGATCGGATTGGAAGTGAAAAAAGCTGGATCAGGACATCCCTATCCAGTAGTCAAGGAGTCAGGAGTCCAGGAGTCAGTGTACTAACTCCCAGTCGGCATAACCCCAAGATTTTATCTACAGGCTTCCTTAAGATATGGACTGAGCTTAAGCCCCTTTTGTTTAGCTACTTTTAGTGTGAATGAAACTGTAAACAGAACAATCGTTTCTGGAAGGATTCAAACCCCAGTGGTTTATAAGGGTTAAGCGTGTATATTTACAGACTAAGACCCCCGAAAACAACTATATCGGAATCTATCTATCTATCTATCTATCTATCTATCTATCTATCTATCTATCCATCCATCCATCTTCCCTTTGGAAGGAACCTGCCCTTGATCCAATATGGCGGCCATGTTCCAGATGTGGCTTTCTAACAATAACCTAAAACATAATGATGCTATAATAACAATAATAATAATAAAAATAAAAATAATAATGATAATAATAATAATGATAATAATAATAATGATGATGATAATGATGATAATAATAAAACAGAAGAAACAATCTAAAACATAATGATGCTATAATAACAATAATAATAATAACAATAATAATAATAATAATAATAATAATAACACCAATAATAATAATAATAATAATAATAACAATAATAATAATAATAATAATAATAATAATAACAATAATAATAATAACACCAATAATAATAATAATAATGATAATAATAATAATA